TTCTTGGACCACCCTGTATATAACTGTTTTTGTTAACATTTTTTTTCTAGTGCAATTGTTTTTGCTACTTTCTACCAATTCTTGAGAATGAAATTAAATGTCTTTCCGAACCTTGTTGGAACAAAATAGCATATACAACATGTTTTTAGACCTCTCAATATTATAGTTATACAAAGGAATTTTTGGTTGATTTTAAAAAAGTATTCAAAAAATTAAAACAAAATCCCCCCAAAATAGATAAAAATCAAGATAAACCTTTTATTTCATTAACAAGATACTTCTTTGAAATCAACCAAAATTTCCTTTGTACAATAACAATATTGAGAGACCTAAACATGTTGTGTTTATGTCGTTTTGTTCCAATGAGGTTCGGAAAGATGTTTCATTTCACTCTGGAAACATGATACCAAGAACAAAACAAGTGTTTGATGTGTTTTCTAAAATAATATAGATGAAAGTATATATATTTTTTCCAATTATATTGTTACCATTCAAGAGATGACCATTAAATTGACAATGTGTAAAATTTTTAGAATTTTTTGATGACTGGTTTAAGAGAAACGTGTGTTCAAAAAGTTCGCCATATCGATACCCATCCTTTGTCACAGCGAACCCCCGAAAAGTGACCCCCCCCCCCCCTTGGCAAAAGCTGGCTACATGCCTGCAAATTGTTTAAGCCGTTTGTAGGCAAACCTTACCTTACCTTTTACTCTACAGTGATCAACACAACGTTGTATGGTGAGGTTGTCGTCCGGGTGATTTGTATGCGAGTATGTATAATAGAATATGCGAGTACACCCCAAATAGGTCAACTCAGCTGAAATGTAGTTTATATAAAGAAAAATTAGAAAAACAACATCTCAAACATCTTGTTTAGTTTATAAATCACGTACATGTACATGTTTCAATCAATTTTTGTAAAATTCAAAATAATTTTTCGGCCTGTTTATGCCACAATCGCACCCCCCTGACTGAAAACCGAAACATTTTTGGCCTCGCACCCCCCCCCCCTGACTGAAAGCTTGCTACGCCCCTGAGTGGTATACCCAACCTAGTTCAATCCTGTTGAAATGTAATATTCATATAAAGGTATGAGTAGTAGAATAATGCACTATACCCCATCTATCTCAGTCCTGTTGAAATGTTAATATACAGGTATAAGTAGTAGAACACTGCGGTGGTATACCCCACCTAGTTCAACCCAGGGTTAATTAGGTGTCGATGGAAGAAAAACTCAAAGCCCAACCATATATGTCAACTTTATTGCAATTGATGACTACAGTGACATAAACATCAGGTAAAGCAAAAATTGACAATGGACAAAGGACAATGAAATATTAATATGGATTCAGTTGCAAAATGTAAAGATTGAAACATCCCTGCAAAATGTTGGCGAGACAGCTGCCTCGTCTGCCCAACAAGTGGCAACGCCCATGCCAGGCTTGTTTAAACGCCCATGTCTGGCTAGTGGAAACGTCCATGCCTGGCTAGTGGCAACGCCCATGCCTGGCTTGTTGAAATACCCATGCCTGGCTAGTGGAAACGCCAATGTATGACTAGTGGAAGCGCCAATGTCTGGCTATTGGAAACGCTCATGCCTGACTAGTGGAAACGCCCATATCTGGCTAGGGAAACGCCCAGGCCTGCCTTATGGAAACGCCAATGCATTGCTAGTGGCAGCCCCCATGCCTGGCTAGTGGAACCACATATGCCTGGTTACTGGAAACGCTCATGCCTGGCTAGTGGCAATGCTCATGTCTGGCTAATGGCAACACCAATGCCTGGCTAATGGCAACGCACATGCCAGACTAGTGGAAACGCCCATGTCTGGCGAGTACCAACGCTCATGCCTGGCCAGTGGCAACGCCCATGCTGGCTGGAGGAAACGCCAATGTCTGGCTAATGGCAACACGCATGCCTGGCTAGTGAAAACGCCCATTCCAGGCTAGTGGCAGCACTAATGCATTTTAGCACGAAACCCCAAGAAACCCCAATATTTATTAACTACTAGACATTTCCCTTTGTTTTCCTGTCAATGTTGAAGAATCCAGATTCAATACAATTAAATAAAAGTCGTGCTATTATGTCTTCAATCAGACTGTAATTAAATTGAATTTATTTGTGATGGCAGCATTATTTGTATACGTGTCCCATCCTTGAAATGCAAATATAAATAATATATTGTGAAATAGTTCATTGAAATTATTTTCAATTGATCTTTGCATTTGTTGAGTACAATTACTTCATCCTACCATTTGACACAAGCCAAGGCAAGAAACTTCTTTATATGACAACGAGACCCAGAATTTACTGAACACAGCTGGCTCAAACTTCTGTCAGCTCGGTAGAGTAACCCAGAGGTAACCGATAGGGGGGAAGGTTGCAATTAGGTCTTTGTAATTCTTGTTTGTATGTGGACTTTTGTCAAATTGTGGATTTGTCTGGCTTAAGATGCATCTAATCTGGCCCGGTAGCTCAGTTGGTTAGAGCGTCGTGCTAATAACGCGAATGTCGTGGGTTCGATCCCCATCCGGGCCATACTTTTGGTTTGACTCCATAATGAGCGACTTGGGTATCATTCGCTTATTCAACTGCCGACTGACGAATTAACCCCTATTTTATGGCCAACTCACTTAAATATGAATAGTCACACATTCTCGAATTTCAGGTCCATTTCGAGGTTTGGACTTTTGAAGAAATACAAAATCCATTGTTTTACATAGGAATGTCGATTTTCAAAAATTCATCAGATTTATCAATTTTTGACATATTGTAATTGAGGAAAAAATTTGGAAAATTTGGAGGCATTGGAAATTAAGTCAAGTTACATTCCCATAAATATTATAAGTATTTTCTTCACAGGTTATGTAAATGAAAATTCCAACACGTAGTTCAATGAGGGAGCTAAGGTTGCCAAACTTATGGAGGGGAGTGTACCATTTGACACAGGCCAAGGCAAGAAACTTCTTATTCTCAGAATATGAAAAATTATGTTTGCACTTTTGTTAAATTGTAAAGTTGTCTGGCTTTGATTGCATCTAAGCCGGCCCGGTAGCTCAGTTGGTTAGAGCGTCGTGCTAATAACGCGAATGTCGTGGGTTCGATCCCCATCCGGGCCATATTTTTGGTTCGACTCCATAATGAGTTTGCTCAACTGCCGGCTGTCGGCTGACGAGTTAACCGTTATTTCATGGCCAGTACCTGAAACTTTTCATATCCATAGGCCTATTAGAATTAGGGTTTCCTACAATAGCGGTTAATCCGTCAGCCGACAGCCTGCTTTTGAATTCGCGAATGCTCGCTTACATGTAGAGATTCACTAGTTTTGTCCAAATGTTTCAATTTGCATCAGATTATGAAAGGTTTGGGGGATTATTCTATGATTTAAACACTTCGATCATTATTATAATGTTGTCCAACCATTACGTTTCATTAATTCAAATGGTGAATATTCAACTTAATTAAAAATCATTTCTGGCACATCTAAGATACCCCGATCACCCTACATAAGTCGCATTAACAACAACAATATGCCAACCCGTTACCAAGGCAACTACCCTAGACGTGACAACATACCTGGATAAAACCTGTTCGTATGCCATAAGTCGTAATCGTTATTGTATACATCCAATGCAATAGTACCACCTTTTGCCAATAATTGACACTTATTGTTAGTATTCGATTTTCGGAAATTGAATTGAGTGCAGTCCTTCGTTGATGCGCAATAAGTTGCGCAGTCGTCAACTGTCATGAATGGCATCTCATGTGTTACATTTAGAGCCATGGTGTTTCTATATGGATAGAATGCGTGTCCAAATGAAAAGTCCAACAAGGTGTGGATATATGTTAACCCGAAAATGATCGAACAGACACAGTTCTTAATCATTTTTATAAATTTTCAGAATGCTTTGTGTACAGAGTTATCGAATCATTTCCTTATGTCTTGGTACCGATGTTCATCCGGATTATTTGAAATCGCCACCGTATGATTTCTAATTCCCAAACACCAATGTACCTCTTGATCTTTTGATGAGTGATTGCGAAATCAACAACATAAGTATCCTCATGCCAAAATAACGTTGCAGCTCGCAGTTCATTTGCTAAATCTGTTAGACCAGTTCTGTGTTTTGAATATGATCGGCTGATATCGAAGACGTTGCTAATGATCTAGATCTCCAGATCAAATTAATGAAGTGCACGAGCCCGAGGAATGGGAAAAGCATATAAAAACACAATGTAAGATTGCTGATATTGAAACATTCCTTCAATAATTTTCTAACAACACGAACATTGACCATTGTATTTCCTGCAATTAAACGCAATTTGCAACATTGTTCTATTACTTTGACACCATAATTCACTTTTGACACTGACACTAATCGAATTAATCAGACACGAATGTGATGTTTTAATTGTCATTATATAATATTACTGACATCTTTCTCAATTTTGATATTGAATAACAAGTTATAATTATGTTAAGTTGTTATAATTATATTGTTAGTCTCAAACTTTTTTTGTGGACGGTGATTGGCGGTTGGTGTCCGACGTCTGTAACAATGTTCGGCGTTCGGCGTCTGTAACAAATTGCAGGTGGTGACATTTTGCATGCTAATGCCTTGTAATTACTCAATTACGCCAGAAACTATCAATTTGGTTATTCAGTTAAATCATTCACTTTGTTGAATGGTCATTTCTTCTTATGATTTCTTCCGACCAATTAGTAAGGGTGACATGACATGCCGTTAAGACTATTGGAATGAAGATTCATCTCTGCTACGTAATGGTGGTCTTACTTGGGACGATGCAAGTTAACCCCCCTCCCCCCTTGGCCGGCTTTATGCATATTTCCTACTTGTTAGTATCGGGAAACATCAATGGACGTAGGCTGTTCCAAAAGGATGTTCAGGTTGCTATACTTTGGGAGGGGAGTTGTAATGAGTGATTAAACTAAAACCTAGGATGAATCCTAGACTAAAATATTCTCTTTCCGTTATTTCTAAATCGTTGTACAACTTCTCTCTTTTCTGATTCTGCAAACTTTCCTGCTTCAACCATATTTGGTGCAGATCTGTCCCAGGCCCACTCTTTGTCAGGTTGCATCCAATTAGGTCCATACTCAGCTTCTATAATAGCTTGAGTGTTACATGGCACAAGGTAGAGATCATTGAATAACTCAGCGGAACAGAGGGGTATATCTCGAGGATAAATCCATCGTACTTTTTCTAGTGTCTTAAAGCGCAAACCACCGGTCCACGTGTACTTGGTCTCTTTATAGTGGAAGAATATATCCAACTTGATACCGAATCCTCGAACTGCCAACTCAAAGCCATCTTTCGGCTGAAAGGTAAAACGGAACTTGAACCGAAAGTGATTAGTGATTAGTTTCATTTCAGTACAAATGCCTTATGCCTATAATAACAGGGTTCAGATCAACCAATGAATTTGGGCTTTTGAAAATCAATCTAGGCCTCTATCAAATCCCCTAGCATAGGATTTGATCAGATTAACCAAATCAGAAACTGACCATAGTCAAGTTCTGACAATAACCTGGTCGCTTAAGCCCAGCATATACTAACCACTTGTCCCATCGAGGGCTTTGTATAAAAAGCCTCCTACCTCATACCCACCTACCCACGTACGTGGGACATGATACAGTCCTTGAAGGGTTCAATTTTAAAAATATTAACTTTTAGTTTATGATGAATTATAGATGAATTAATGCACCCATATGCCTTTATTTATGGATCGGTCATGTCTTAAAGTAAAGCAGGAATTGCAGAAATGTTAATAATTTGAGCTTTTTAATTTGATTTCATGTCTGCTTTTGATTTCTGGAAATGTTTTTTTGTTGATCGGCAGTCTGGCTTTGTATAAAAAAAACTCTTACACACTTACGTGGGTCTTTTGAGGATGCAATTTTTTTTAAAGATTATTCATTCTCAGTTTATGCTTGATTATAGATGCATTAATGCACTCGTCCCCTATGCCTTTATCTATACAATAATAATAAAGCCGAATTACAGAATTGTTATTTGAGAAATTTTAATCGTTTTGTCAAAATAACGCAATCAATTTATTTTATATCCAAGGTTAATTAAAAGTGTATAGGAAAGTATGACGCAAAGGCTATTAAGGGATCGATCATATTTATACGATCGATAGAAAAGGCAGGATGTGTTGTAAGACTGCCCCATAAATCATTTCGAAAAATCAAAAGCAGACCTGAAAACAAAAATAGCTAAAATTCATGAAACTAAAGGCACAGTGTAAAATACAGCCGATAAAATGGCTCATTTTTCAGGCTTTGGAGTCGATTCTACTTTCGAAATATGCCCCGAGAACTATGTATAAAGGTCCATTCAAAATTGAACTTGAAAAGCCATATTACATAATACTGAGGATTTAAAGTTGTATGCGACAACTTTCAGCTCATCTTTACTAAAATAGACCGGAAGTGAGTTTTCGAGTCGAGTAAATGGTGATACTGTAATGTCCTTTTATGAAGCGGGGAAGAATCCATGGCAAAATCTAAATAATTGAAATATTCACACACGGACGTCACAGAACACACCTCCGGTTTTATAATCGATAACTTTTCAGTCAAAAAATATTTTTATGAATATCGCTAAATTACAAAAATAGGTAGGGTAAAGAATATGTTAAAATCGTTTCATCTCGTCCCAGAGGCAATGTTTTGTCACTTGTATCTCCCTCAGAATTCCTCATTAAACATTTCCGGTTTTATTTTATGACTAGACAGTTGACAGATCCATAGATAAAGGCATATGGGTGCATTAATTCATCTAAAATTCAACATCAACTAAGATTTAATAACTTTTAAAAACGAACCCTTCAAGGACTGCATCATGTCCCACGTACGTGGGTAGGTGGGTATGAGGTAGGAGGTCTTTTATACAAAGCCCCCATCGAGTCCCACGATGTCCCATGGGACCTCGTTATCCTTGCCCCCTTGAAGTCCCACTATGCCTTATCGAGTCCCATATTTTCATTCTCGATTTGGCTTCGTGGGGCTCGATCGGGGACTCGATGGGGAATGACGACGCAAAGTTCCACGGACTACCATGGAATCCCATGAAGTCCCACGGAGTATCATGGGGCAAAACCTCATTAAGTCCAAAGAGATCCCACGAAGTCCCATGCAATATTGATTCTGTGGAGGTCCCACAGTGCTCCATTGATTGGTGTATGTTGGGTTTCAGTCTCACCTTGCCATAGCGGTGCATGATTCTGATTGGTTGCCCCGGGCGATGAAGAAGTTTTTCTAGGTCAGGAATAAATTCTGTGATCCATGTCCCCACATCTACATCAGTAGTGTGCGCGATGAGACCACACTGTCTGTACCAGCCTACAAAAAGTCAAAATGTTTGTACGAATGTACAAATAAAGCTACACTGTTTGTACCAACCTACAAAAAGTCATAATGTTTAATTGTACAAAATTACAAATAAAGCTACACTGTCTGTACCAGCCTACAAAAAGTCAAAATGCTTGTACAAATGTACAAATAAAGCTAAACTGTTTGTACCGACCAACAAATGTCTATCTGTACACATTGTCACACTGTCTGTACCATTCTCAAAATAAAGCCACACTGTCTGTACCATCCTATAATTCAGACATATTGTCCATGTCCTTCTAAACCACCATCTGTACCATCTTTAAATTTATAAAAACATATTATTCAATTCCATAAATAAAGCGAGGCCGTCTTTAACTTCCTACATATACTCGCTGTTATATAGTTACATCAGACACATAAAGTCACAATTTCTACACCATTTTACATATAATGCCTTACTGTTTAATTAATGTGTATTGTTACTCTGAAGTACAGTACCTAATAGCGTTCCAGCAGTCAACCAAAACTTCATGCCAACTTTATCAAATAAACCTTTTGTAGCTTGCAAGATATGCCGTGCTTTGTTAGCAGTAGCGTTTGCTTCCACTTGGCCCGCTTTTGACAGTTTATTGGCCGCGTTAAATTGATCAGCTCTTGTCTGGTTACAAGGGATGAACTTGGAATGTTCTAAACTGGAGAGATACTTGGAGGAAGATGCTGGTACATACAATCCAGGGATGACACTCCTAGTTATAGTAAGACTGAAAATATTACAAGCGATAAACTTGGAATGTTCTAAACTGGAGAGATACTTGGAGGTAGATGCTGGTAAATACAATCCAAGGATGACACTCTTAGTTATATAGTAAGACTGGAAATATTTGAAAATTAGAATATGCGAGCTTATTATGTAATGAGGGCAGGCCAATCAATTTGTGTTTATTCATACTTCGCAGGGAGGATTGGCTCCCTGAATGCAACATCGATATTCTGTCCCATATATGGTATGGTGTCCTTTTACCTTATTTTCACGTGACAGCTTCCAGAAACATGTCACATGTAAAAGGTCAAGGTCAGCATACCATATATGGGACAGAATTGGACAGACTATCGATACTACATTCTGGGAGCCAATGAGAAGAGATTTTTTACAGCGCTTTTTGACAGTTTTGTCAAAAAATCATGCGACCTCCGCTCCCCCTGGCTAAGGGGCCTGCACAGTGTCCTGGATAGACCCCATCCCTGGTGGGTCTAATGATTCATTACGTCTAGGGTATTAACATTTACACCCACTTTTCTTGATGCAACTATACTCCACTCTACTATACTTGCATTTGGTGTTCATGAGCAACCCATTTGGCTTATTAGTAATGATTATGTATTTGTTTTTATTTGTCTGTTCCTTATTCATGGTTTATCGGATGAATGTTAGATGTAAGTAAGGCACTTTCAAAAACATACTAAACAATACAATTAGACAAACAAAGTATCTTATGCATTTCTAGGTGTTAGGTATAGTAGAGTGACTCACTTACCTTTGAAATGCAGCTGGGAAACGGATGCTCCTCACTGGCGGGCGTTTCTTGGCTGTTGCCTCATCGTTTAAAGGCCCTATCCAGTAATATCTACCGTGTCGGTTATATATTATGGCTATGTGAATCCATTTGCTGATAGATGGCACTGATGTCGTTAAGAATATATGATTGGCATTCTGGTCTCTGTCTTTTACGAGGGATATGTGGTATTTGTTACGAGATAGAGTGCGAATGAATGTCTCCTATAATTGAAAATAGATAGCTAGGGTGACGTTGAACTTATTCTACAATATGAAACTACTGGTAAGAGCGCTGTAGAATTTCTCCTTTAATGGGAAATCACCTAGAGCGCAGTAGGATTTCTCTAATGGAAAATTCGCGCTAGTACAGGCTAGAACGCTGTAAGCCTTATAGAGCGTTAGAATTTCTCCTACTATAGAAAATTACTGACTAGAGCGCTAAAAAAATTTCCTGTTATAGAAAATTACTGGGTAGAATGCTTAATAATTCCTCTTACATTAATTAAGGGCATTTACAGCACAGTTTACGTTCATACTGTTTTAAACAAAGTTCAAACATAACTTAAACATTTCAAAAGCAGTTAACGTGTATTCTTACCAATTTAGTTCCAGCCAAATCGTCACGATTGATGCCATAGGAGACAAGGACTTTGTTGATGAGGTCCTCCTTCAGGTTATGTGTTGAAACCATGCTGTTGTTGATTATGGTCGGGTCCAGAAGGATCAGAGTGATGTTATAGATGGCACTGAGTGATATGAATTGTAATTGGAGGTTAGATGTGGCGTTTAGGCGTGTGGTTTTATTGGGCGAGAACGATTCTGTTTTGGACGATATCTGCAAAAACAAAATAACTTACCATTAATGAATATTAATTACTTTTTGTTGGAGAGAATCTTTATATTTTCCAGTTTATTTTTTAATTTGAATTTGGTTATCTATCAAATTTATATCCACATAGATGCACTTCTAATATGAATTATTTTAAAGAGCACCATGACAGTGTTGTTTTATGACTGCATATCTATTTACTTTTGGAAACTGTAAACTGGTGACTTAATGTGTTGACCATGTTTATCAAGAGTGGTTGAATAGTGACGATAATTTGAGGAATCTCGGGGAGTTCTTTGAGACTGGTGACATCTATCTAGCACCTGCCTACCTCGTTTGCATGTTTGTAATATTTAGACATTCTTGGTGCGACGATCCTAGTCCCAGTATTTTCCGTCCTCGACTGCAGGTATAGTATGAAAACTGCTATCATGGACAGTAGAAGGAGTTTCTTGTTTTGTCGTCGTGCTATATATGAAGCGTATCCATCCATCATACCAAGGCGCATTTTACAGAAAAACGAAATTGTTAAGGTGACTAGTGACTAGTCGTACATTGCAGTACTTAGTCTAGATCAACGAGTCATCACTGATCCGTATTAATTTTCCAAAGTAAAAAAATACAAAACTTAAATGGTGTTACGGTACCATAGCCCTCGTACTTGCTATTCACGATAAGATATCCAATGTCAAGTAGCTTGATCCTATGTTTTACAGCGTTTAAGTTTTTCCAAGCACAGTGGCTGTGTAATTGTAATGATTTTAAAGTAATGTTAACAAGAAAAACATTTTGAGACTAAAGGCGACCAAGTGCAGCGAACCGTTCTCTATCGTTTCGTGTTATTGTAAAAATACTGTATTGAAAGGCATCCTTGATTGTACATATGGTTAAAAGATGTTATCATATGTTTATGGGACATGCTGGTACATTAATATTAACTCATTGTCTTATTACACAATGTAAATGTTGATTCAGGATCATCAACATTTGTAAAAACAATTAGCTTGTCTTTGAAAACCTAAATCCGCGATATTTGACCCCCAGCTATTAAAATGGTGTTCGAAAACAGGTAGCGAAAGCAAACGAGTTTAATTCGTCGATATTTCGTGTCTGTGTTGAATCTAATATTACAAATGTTTGTAAGAAAATGAACCATGATGCAATCCAATACAAATGTCTTTTTTATCTATTAAGTACCCGTATGTCAGTGACCAAAGCGTTTGACAACGGGGGTCACCCAATATTGGAAACCATCTGCTAAGTGTATGATATATACTTTTTAAAAGACTTACTAGTTGATATTCAACCACATAAAAATGTATACATGGCGTGCACAGACCTGGGGACAATTCGGGAAATGCGTGGTAATCTCAGCTTTAAGCGTTAATCTCTGCCTCATTTGAAAAGCTAACTATGTGATTTATGTATCATTTTGAAGTATTTTTTATTCGCGTTTCAGTGAAATTATCTTTCCTTGAAAAGTTTGATGATACTTCGACATCGTCAAATATGCTGTAAGGGGTAACACTTTACGCTTACACGGCTCGTTGAAATTGGAATAACTTTTGAAATAATAATCAGAATTCACATGACATTAACAAAACAATTACATATACATTGAATGAGAATTATATTTTCAAGAATACACACAAGCCTACAACAATGCAATTATTATGAGCATGTGAGGCTCTAAAAACAGTAAAATGCCAACATCGCAAATTCAACGATTTGTTGAAGTATTAGATTTGAATGTTAATTTGGGGTCAATTGCTGAAACTTTTATTAAGTATATATTGTTCTTTTAGTCTTACATCATGATATCAAGGATGATAAATTGATTTGGAAAGCTGTTAAAAGCTTTTGGTAATGATATAACCTATGCTTAGTTTAATTGTGCTAAGTAACACTCACAACTAAAATAGACCCATACAAAAATAATATAAGAAATATATAAGAAACATGTCAAAATTCGAGAACACATTTAATTTGTACAACATTGCATATTATATTAATGCATCTTTAATCAATATAATTGTAAATATCACACATCATAATTTAAATGAAAATGACTGATTATTTGACACAAATGCTAATCTTAAAGCTTAAATATAAGTATTTTATGAATACTGCAAACAGGCAATGTAAATATAAAATATTTCAAATAATTTACATACCATTATCTCATTGTCATGTTTCTCATTCTGTGATTGGTTGACATGCATCACATGACATTAAATATTCCGTAAAATGGAGTGATTCCTTCAGTCCAAGAGGAGGGAAAACCCCATGATTCAATTGATGACATACGATTTCCTCCTTCGCGCACCTCCTTTTGTCCAAAAACGTACTGTCCATCTTGGTTTTCAAAGTTTTCAAATTGACCTACTTTTAAACCAATCAACGATCGACTCGCTTAACCAATCAGTGACGATGTCATCTCAATATAGATTTACATTATAAGCGTATGTCATCTTTGAACCCTGGGGTTTCTCCCCCTCTTCTTCAGTCCCTTTTTATATCTCTCGTCCAGAATGAGGACGTTAAATACAGATGTATTATATTACACTTTCTAAAGCTCGTTTTTAATATCCCCTCCCATGTTACAGAATGCGAAACATAACTATGAATAATAAAACAAATATTTCATTCTACACATTTACTGGACGATGACTGGTGAATGTAATGTACTTATGGATATCTATTCATTATTCTCTCTCTTGATTTTGTTATAATACATGTACTATATTCGTCTATTTGACTAACTTGAATAAGTTAAATACATTTTGTCCAAAGTGCACAAGTTCATAAATTGTCCTAGTACACAAATTGAAAAATTAAGTACATTTTGTCCAAAATGCACAAGTACATAAATTGTCCTAGTACACAAATTGAAAAATTAAGTACATTTTGTCCAAAGTGCACAAGTACATATTAAATAAAATTGTCCTAGTACACAAATTGAAAAATTAAGTACATTTTGTCCAAAGTGCACGAGTACATAAATTGTCCTAGTACACAAATTGAAAAATTAAGTACATTTTGTCCAAAGTGCACAAGTACATAAATTGTCCTAGTACAAAAACTGAAAAATTAAGTACATTTTGTCCAAAGTGCACGAGTACATAAATTGTCCTAGTACACAAATACATTAATTGAAAAATTAAGTACATTTTGTTCTCAGTTCACAAGTACACAAACTGAAGAAATACATTAATAATAAAATAAGTACATTTTGCCTTCAATATGTACAATTTTTTCCTAAATTGATCACTAGGTAGAAAGTGTAAACAAAATTAATGATGCAAGTATATCTCACATAAAGTTCAATTCAAGTAAAGTACATTTAAATAATTCAATTCATTTAGGGAGACAAACAGATTTAATCAAAAGATTCTTATTTGGATTTGTTATACAGCAAACTTGATTTTACAATCTAAACAACAATTAAATATGTGTTATATGTTATAATATAATATTCACTAACACTTTTTTCATCATAAAGTGAATCTCTTCATTCCATGATGCACCTCTTTTTCCCATGATGCATCTGTTTGTCCCATGATGCAACTCATCTCTATCCCATGATGCACCATCTGTCAATCTGCTGTTAGATTCTTTTCTTTTATTATAAATAAACTACTTCAGGGTTCCATATATTTTTTCGTATCCCAAATATTTCTCTCTGCTGATGAACATTCCATTCAATTTCTCTCTAAATTTTGGATGAACTGTATGATTTTCTTGCATTTCTGTATAATTTAAAGTGTTGGTTACCCACATTTTTTTTATTCCCTGCTTCATCTACTCTTTTCTGCTCAATTTTGCCTTTTAAAAAAGTTTTATCCAAAAAGACCATTTAGGTATACGAGGAGGTCATTTTGTTGGTCAAATTTTTCATGTTATTTGGTCACAATCGGAACATTGCACTCTATGTCACAATAAACATCATTTGATAAATCTTTCCAGGTGGAATACTTCTTGAACTGTCTTAACACTTAAAACGTTATAAGCATTATCTTCGACTTATGCAGGGTCAGGTATAAGCGGTTATGCAACTTGTTCATATGTTGCTTTCCGTAAGCCTTTGCCAAGACAACAAGCCAGAACTGCTCCGAAGAACTGAAATAAGCAAGGTACATTATAGTTGGAATAAGGAGGGATGTTGTTAAAGAACATTATAGTTTAAAAGGGACTAGAAGGGATACTGTA